CGCTTATTCGCTGAAATAAAATCGGGTAAGCGCCCACCCCTAAAAAATCGTGATTTTCTGAGTTGAGGCCCCTGGGCGCTCACGCGGTCAAGTACGGTAAATTATTTAATTTTACTCTTTGATACTCTGCAACTATATAATTCATATCCTTTTAATTATTCAATTACCCTATTAATTTTAATTTCATTTTTTGTGTTACTGCAGACATTGACGAGTGTGAAGTTTTGAATATAGAGTGTGCCGAGAGGATGTCTTGTTATAACAACGCAGGAAGCTACTACTGTGATTGTGAAGCTGGATATGAAAGACATGGTGAAGAGTGTATTAGTGAAGAAACGAGTACGTACTTTTCATTTTCCTGGAGCTTAGATATTTGGGATTAAACATGTAGTATCACCTCATTTAATCACTGGCCAATAGAAATTGATGTCAACAAACAACTCGGTGTTTTCGTTTAAATCTTTAATTTTGTACAATGGAGAGTAATATAAAAGCCCTAAAAATATATTAGTTTTTCCTCATCATGCAATTCAATTTCAAAACGAACCACTCACAATTATTGTTTCTGTTGAAATGTTCACAACAAAAAAAAACCTGCAAAAAAAAAATGCTCCCAATTCACTATTTTTTGAACATGTCAAGACAAAAACAGAATTTTTGTTTTTAGTCTGAATTGAACAACTCTTTAAAATTGTTGGTGTCAGCTGACAATTCCGAAATCCCTTTTTTTTTGTTACAGCTAATTTTTGGTTTATGTATATGTATTTTGTCAATCTGCTTTCAATATCTACACAATCACTTATGTATGCAGCTAATCAAAACAAAATGTCAATATGTTTGCTTAGTAAATAAATGAGTGGGAGCAAATAAAAAATATAGGTACCGATAAACTAAACTTGTTACCATGGAAGCAACGATTAAAAACACTACTCTCGTGGTCTTAATTTTTCTCACAAACAATTTGGTGCAATATTTTGGGGTATCTTTCATAAATTTGTTACAAATCTTTAAATAATAATAACAAAAAATATGCAGGAGTATTTTGTTATTTTGCCACTCAAAGAGTCAGGGCGTTTTTAAAACATTATTTCAGTGAAATATTTAAAAATTTGTTTGCAGTGAAAATGCTGAAAGAAGGCTTTGATGAAGACGAGGGTAAGGAGCCTACAAAAGGTGAACAAGTTCTCCGCTATACCATCTATGCCATTATATTTATTATATCTGTAGTTGCTGCCAGAGGAAGTCCATTTGGTGCTTTTGTATTTGGTGTTGCACTAGGCGGAATATACATATACAGGCAATCAGGGAATCGAATCCACTCATAGCACACAAATAAACTGGTTTTTTTATCCAGTATTTTTAATTATTCATTTAATTGGAAGAGTGCCCAAGGCTGATGAAGATATCTCTAATGTTTTTGAGCAGAAAATTGAAATAAACCCATCCCATGCCATGCTGTGCAAAAAACAAGTAGTACCCGGTACTTGTAAAATAATACTTTATGGATGTAGAAAAAAAAAGAATTTTGTTTCTGAACTAATCAAAACATGTCTATGATGCTTGGAATAATCATTGGGAGAACATTGATCTAAGTTTTCATGCTGCAAATCAAAACATCCAGTTTTTTTTTTTTTAGAGAATAGATGTTTTGAATGCAACTTGACACGTTTTTGCAAAGCAATGTTTAAAGTTTATCTCTTGGATTGTATGTATAGTTTGTATAAATTTAAAGTCATAGCACGTTGGAATTCATAGAAGTTATTTTGTTAAAATTTTCACAATACTGTTACTTCCCATCCCATAATTGAAGTTCTTTGCTCTTCCCTGACCATTGCATCATGGGAGGTGCATATTGTATTGAAATACCATGTCTTGATTGTTTTTTGAAAAGACAAAGTGAATTTACCGTAAAACAGTTGTACGTTTTTTTTATTTAATGATTTATTTATTTTTTCTGGGCATTTCAAAACATTTGCTAATTATTCATCCCAATGGTTAGTGTGTTTGCTCGTGGCATTCAGTTTTGGGATGTGATTTCCAGTCGATGGCTGTTCCTGCCTTCAGTGCACTATCTAAAATAACATCTTTCTTCACAGTGAGTTGCCAAGTACCACAGGGACTAGAACTTGCTCTCCTTCCTGATTTGTAATTAGGTTTTCTCATTGACTCACTGACATAATGAAAAATGGCACCCATAGTCAGCTTTAAACTGTTTTTTCATGTTGCATTTCAATCAAAATGTATTTTATTCACTAAATTATTAAATTTTTAGCAATGTTTTTTTTCACATTGAATAAACAAGCCTGTATATTATAGATTAGAATAAATAATGTTTGTTGGGGTAAATTTTGTTGTCTTTCATACTGTGTAATTTTGTAATAACTATCGTAGTGTTATTGGGTGATAATTCTTTACCTTAACCTTTGTATGCACAGTTGTATTTAAAAACAATCACTCCTTCTCACACGTTTTTTGATGTTTTTCTCTTGCGTATCAAAGAAATGGAGGAAGGTTTGTATTTTTTTAACTCCTCCACAATTATCAAAATCATTTTACTGTTATTTAGTGTTTTATAAGTTTAAATATGTTAATTTGATAATCGTAACCAAATTGGAACAATTTGACATTAACACAACTGCCAAATCAAATCTCTTCAGGATTAATGTTTTTATTTTTTAGAATTAGAATGAAATTTTAATTTTCACAGTCCTTTACTCTCGCATCCATGAGTCATAAAATTAATGTCAGTAATTTTAACTAATTAATTGCAGCACAAAAGTTGTCAATTTCGGGGTCAAAAGCACAGTATAATAATTGGTCACATTGCCCAAAACTACTTCTCAAATTTGTTTTCTTTCGTTTATTTTTACTTATAATTTAATTATGCTTTCTTCAAATTCAGGTACTTTTGTCTTGGTTTCTCAATTTAATCAATCTCTGCATATCTTTTGGCAGATGAAAATGGTGACCTTATACCTACTGTTGAGAAAAGTGATGCTGATGGTAGCGATGCTGAGGGGTTGCCAGGAGACGGGAGTAATACTGATTCCCACACTTTCACAAAAGATGAATCTAGTACTAGTCATGAAGTCCTAACTACTCGGCCACCTCAACAAAACACTGAAAATTTGAAAGTTCAAAATATAGAGAATGGTGAATCTAAAGTAAATAACAGTCATGTTGAATTGTGACGTATTCTTTCACAACATTTCAAGTTGCCTAATTATTTGCCAGTTATATTTTATTTATTGACAATTTATATTTTTCCATCTCCTGTAACTTCTTGTAGCTTTTCATCACGCAGTTCATCAGCTGAAAAGTGTAATAAGACAATTGTTAGATAACTACTGTAAAGTCCACATTAGAAGCAGCAGCTTCTATTAAAATGCAATAGATGGGATGTGGCTTCTATTAAGGCATCTACACATATGAGAAATGATGAATTTGGGGTTCTCAATTATTCAAAATTGGAGTGGCTTCTATAGGGGATGTGGCTTCCAATACAGAATTGACAGTAGTTGATCTTGGACCAGCAAAATCATCAATCAATCAATCAATCAATCAATCAAATTTCACTTTAGGAATTTCCCTTGTGTTTTATAACATAATAACATTGCATTGCATCATGTATTAGTACACACTGGATTGTACAGTCACTCCCCAATTTGGCATATTCTGCTGGTGCAATACGTGTCAGTGTAACACCTTGGAGTGATTTGCAAAGTT